TGCTTTACAGTGTGTAGAGATTTCAGCCTATAGTTGCTGGCTCCTAGGCAGAGTAATATGGCAGACGGATATGACAATGCTAGCAAGAGGCAGAAGACAGCAGGCAACAAACTGGTCATTTTTGTGCGTTAGGTCAAAATGGCCCAATCTGTCAGTGTGTGTAAGGGAGAAGTTTGGCTGCTCTTTGTGTTTTTAATCTTTTATTTATATGGTACAAGGTCTCACAGTGGAGTTCAGACTCATAGTGATCCTACTTAGCCTTGTCAGCACTGTGATTACAGGCCTGCACCACCACACCTAGTTTCCGTGGCCGGCGCGGCATGGAACTGACATGGCATATGGTGATGGGAATTGAACCCGGGTCCTTGTGCTTGCCAGATAGGCACTTAGACTGCCACCTTCACTGCTCTTATGCATAAATCTTTCCAAATATATCTCTCTTAAGAATCACAGGAAACAGTTTTGCAAGAAAAATCAAATATTATATCATGCAGTTTAGTATTTTCTAAATAATAGATAAGCTTATATTCTAACCAATTAGGATTTTTCTTAGGAGCACATGGATGAAGTGTGTTCTTCTCAACTTCTTACTTCAGTAAGACGCATGGTTTTGACCCTTACTCAGCAAAATGATGAGAGCAAGGAGTTTGTAAAGTTCTTTCATAAACAACTTGGAAGTATACTACAGGTAAGAGTTTATACTGTGTGCCATATCAGTATATACTGCTTCAGATTTTGTATTTTTTCCCAATTTTCTCACACAGTTTATTCAAATAGGTATGTCCATTTAATGCACTTGATATGACATCTAAAACTTTTTAGATTATTCCTTTAGTGGCTAAAGTATGCTAGGAGCTATCTCTTCATTTAATTGAATCATCTCTGACACTTAACTAATAAAACTTTATTGGTTGTAGTTTTCTCCTACTCAGAACATTTCAAGTTCAAATGTGTATAAGTATTCTGTGACTTTCTGTAATAGTGTCTGTGTACCTGCAAAATTTTAGAGAACAGAAACCAGCTACCAGTTGTAAAAATTTTTAGGGTTTAACAGTAACTTTTAGAAGATTAACAATTAAAATATGTATTAATTGTTCATATTGCCAGGTGTGGTGGCACACACCTGTAATCCCAACACTGAGGAATGTGAACCAGGAGGACCACTGATTGCAAGGCCACCCTGAGGTGCTTAGTGAGACCCTGCCTCAAAAAAGAAAGTGGTTTTTTTTTTAATCTTAGTAGCATAGTGTGAAGTTTCTACACATCATGGAGTGTGCACTGGTCAAACCCCAGGGTATTTGGCATTTCTCTGTCCTTACATTTCATTATGTTGGAGCCTTAGGGCTCTTCTAGATCTTCATAAAGTATATGACAGGTCATGGTGAACCATAGTTATCTTACCCCTGTATTGAGGATTGGAACAGAGCCTTCTTACTGAGCTATATCCTTAACTCTTTTATTTTTTTGTTTTGAGACAGGGTTTCACAGGCTGGACTAAACTTGCCATCCTCTGTCTCAGCCTCTTTAACTGTCAAGATTGTAGGCCTTCACACCCGGCTTCTGTGTTTTGATAGCTCTTTTCTGACCTCCTTTATCCCTCCTTCCCTCTACCATTCCCAGCCTCTAGAAATAAGTATTCTCTGTTATTGGAAAGCCAGGTCCTAAACATTATGAGGGATTGGCCCTCCCTTTTTGCTACTTTGTGTCTTGAACAACAGAATCCAATCAAGACCCATATGTGGCAGAGGAGAAGTAGTAGATCAAGTAGATATAGAGAGAATTATACCTCCAATTGAGAAGGTAGACAGTGCCATGTAGACTTCAGCATGGAATATGAATGTGGGTATCTTTATGCACACGAGTTAGTCCTGGGAGGGCCAACGAGATAGCTCAGTGGACTAAACACCTGCTTAGGCAAGCACAGGGACCAGGGTTCGATCCCTGGCACCATGTTCCACACCGGCCCCACCTCCAGGCGTGCTAAGCCAGCCACCAAGATTGGGTATGGTGGTGCACGCCTGTAATCCTAGAGCTGAGAAGGCTAAAAACAGGAGGATCACTCTTTACACTTCACATTTTAAAAGACCATAATCCATGTAGGTCTTCCTTCATTTTGTTTACCATTATCATATTGTTGACAGATTTCAGAGTATTAATTTGGAAGTAATTTTTTTTATTTTTATTATTTATTTATTTATTTATTTGCTCCTCGAATGCCTTCAGGGCACTTTTGGCCAGTGGAGTGTTGTGGGGATCGAACTACAGCAACCTGAGGCTGACAGCCTTGTGGAAGCAGCCACATAAAGAACTGAGCTAGGGCCAGGCCCCCAATAATTTTTTTTTTAAATGTAGGTAAATTTGACTGCTTTTTTTTAAGGTTTTTACCAAATAGTTGTCCCCAAGGGCTTCTTTCCAGGTCCTTGGTGTCCTGAACAAAGAATCAGACAAAATATAAGGCAAAAGGAGTAAGGGTATGGGATTATTGCAGGTCAAAAACGTATACTCTTCAGCAGAGAGTGTACCAGTGAGGAAGGCTCACAGCCATCGGGAAAATAAAGGGGAAGAGGCTTTATATCCAGAAAACTTGCATTGGCCCATGCCTCATGTAACTATGGCATTGGGATACTTGGCCTAGCAAAAGCTCACTTGGCTTCATGACAAATGCAGATTGACTTATGAAAAAACTTGCTGTTCTTCTACCCAGATGTAAATGAAGGATCAGGAACAGTCTTTTGATGAGTCTGTCCAATATGTAAATGAATGGTTGGGAATAGCATCTTCTGATTGGTCCTGCAAACAGCACTAGATTCAAATGAAGGATTAGGAGTACCACTTTTTTTTTTGCCTTTTTAAAATTAATTTTAATGAGAAAGAAATAGCAATGAGATAGTTTCAAAACAGGTTAGTAGAACAGTTACAGTAATTAATACATTCATTGCATATTATCTTGGTCATAATTATTCAGAGTGCAAGACACAGACATGATACATGATATGGAACAGCACTTTTCTAATTGGTCCTAATGCTCAGGAGTCTTAATCCTGGAGTTATTTTAGGTCATATGCTTTGTGTGTGCCTTTTTTTTTTTGTTTTTTTTTTAGGAAACATCTTGACCAATCAGCTCAGTTTCTGTGAATTTGAACATATTCCAGTTGTTTGTCCCGTTTGCTTTAGTGCTGCTCCCACATCAACTCCATTCTTCATCTTTTTCACAAGGGCATATATATGAATAATAAAAGTTAATTTACATTAAATGTTACCTAAATTTTTTTTTATGAGTTATTAATTACTGGCTTCTGGTTGTATCTGTTCATGGCTGAGTCTGCTCTGGAGCCACTGTCCACCTAATGATTTTCTTTGGTTTCTCTGCAAAAATAACCAGAGAGGCTGTTCTAAAGACTGGAAAGAAGGGTATAAGATAGGTCCAGTTATTGATTATCTTAAATAGCAAGTTGCTTTCCTGAAAGAAAAGATACTTTTGTAGACAACACTGAGAGAAGAGAAAAAACTTCAAATTTAAAATGTTAAACTGAGAGAAGAAATTGAAGAACTGAAACAGGATCTTATTCAGGCAGAAATTCAAAGGGGAATGAAGCAAATACCATGCCCATCTTGGACACCACTAGAAGCTAATTCTCTGGTTGCTGAAAAAGTGGTACAGTCTTAACTAATAACTATATCTGTTCTGGTGCCGAAGAAAAGGTAAAAGAGAAAATTAAGGAGTGGGGGGGAAGCAGCTATCTTCAGCAGAGATTTCTGACTCTTAAGCCAGTAGATATTTTCTCCACTCTGTCTTCCAGTTGGTTTCATCATTAATACCAGAAAACATCCTCATAATATTTGTATGTAGAAAAAAATGGAATTTGGACAAATAGTCCAAGAACAGTTGTCAGTGGCCTGGTGCATCATGTTCCTCTTTAACAGATGCAAAATTGGATGGTGGTTTTACTTTTTAACCTGAAACCTGCAAAGATGAGGGAGGTCTCAAGCAATGGCAATCTGTGCTAGCTCATTAGAGAAAGTTGAAGTCTTGGCTTCTCCTCCTGCAGTTACTTTGATGCTTTCCCTAGACAGCCTGACAAGGAGCTGAATCCTAAGAGAGATTTGAGAGCAGATCCAAGCCTGACTTGTATATGAGATCCAACTGTGTCACCGTATACAAGGTATATCTTTCAGGTGAAAGGCAAGGGGGTGTGTAGGGCTCAGACTATGTCCAATGGTGGAAGCAAGATCAAAAGCTACCTTTTCTAAAATACATCAGAGCTTTTTTCTTTTTGCCATCTACCGCCTTGACTGCTGGCTGCCACCATGAAGGTCGAGCTGTGCAACTTTAGCAGGTACAAGATCTACCCGGGACACAGGAGGCGCTATGCTAGGACCAACTGGAAGGTCTTCCAGTTTCTGAATGCAAAATGCGAGTCTGCATTCCTTAATCCTCGGCAAATAAACTGGACTGTCCTCTACCAAAGAAAACACAAAAAGGGACAGTCGGAAGAAATTCAAAAGGAAAGAACACAACGAGCAACCAAATTTCAGAGGGCCATCACTGGTGCTTCTCTTGCTGACATAATAGCCAAGAGGAATCAGAAACCAGAAGTTAGAAAGGCCCAAAGAGAACAAGCTATCAGGGCTGCCAAGGAAGCAAAAATGGCTAAGCAAGCATCTAAAAAGACTGCCATGTCTGCTGCTAAGGCTTCCACAAAGGCAGCACCTAAGCAGAAGATTGTGAAGCCTGTGAAAGTTTCTGCTCCATGAGTTGGTAGAAAACGCTAAGTTGGCAGATCAGATTTTCAAATAAAGATCTGTAATTCTAATTTGTGCTGGGTTTTTACATTGGAAATGTTGGGTCTATGTGGTAATAGGTGAACTATCAAATTAAGAATTTAAGACAAAGAATTTAAGACAAAAATAAGTTGATATCCTAGGAATGGAGTTGTGGCTCATTGCAGTGTGCCTGCTAAGTATGCATGACGCCAAGGACACTTTCTCTGCTCGTTGCCAAAACTAAAAATTGTTTTCCTTGGCATAATGCTTCCTAAGATCAATCTTTCGGTTGGTAAGATGTTAAAGGATGTAATAGACCTATAGGTGGATGCTGGCTTTATTCTGTTTCTATAGGATTCTGGTTACAAGGCTACAAAATGTTTGCACAGATTTAGTTCAACTTGATTAAAAAATCTCTTGTCATTTCTCTGTCAAAAATAAATAAAAATAAAATAAATAAAATAAAATATATCAGAGGAAACACCCATGACAGTAAAAGAAATATATTTGACACTTATACCTAAAAAATAAATTACTGTCTTTTATCCTGAATTCTGCTGGATTTTTCTCCATAGGGTAGTCTACATATAAATATACTTCTTTTCCTTGACTAGATAATGGTTTTGGGTGATGGAATTCTAAACAACATAGTTCTTTTCCTGTTTTTGAATAACATAGTGGGGGCCTTCCCCTTAGCTCAGTTCTTTAAGTGGCTGCTTCAACAAAGTAGTCAGGCTCAGGTAGCTATGGTTCGATCCCCAGAACTCACGCCAACCAAACCTGACCTGAAGGCATTTGGAGCAAAAAAAAAAAAAAAAAAAAAAAAGAATAACATAGTACATGTTTTTCAGGGGGAAAAAAAGAAGTGGCTTTTTGGGTTTTTTTGTTTGTTTGTTTTACCAGAACTGGGGATTGAACTCAGGCTCTTGAACTTGCCAGGCAAGCACTTATTCTACTAAGCTATCTCCCTGGCTCCAAGGAAGTGGTTTTATAACAGTTGTATAAAATATAGGAGACTTGTGCATTTGATGGTGCTGTCTTTCAACTTTAAAGTTTACTTTTGAACTTACTCTGAAGAAAAATTTAATGATTGGCTAATATTAAGGGGGAAACTATTCTACTGGTACCATTTAGATGTGGCGTGGTTTGTATTTTTCTCTTATAATACTTCATGACTGTTAGTGTAGTATATATCAATCCCATGTGTATACTCTCGGCGGGCCTGCCCCTTAGCTCAGTTATTTAAGTGGCTGCCTCAATGAAACAGTCAGGCTCAGGTTGCTGTGGTTTGATTCCGGGAACTCAAGCCAGCCAAACCTGCCCTGACGGCGTTCTGAGCCAGCCAAAAAAAAAAAAAATCCTCCCCCATTTATATACTCTCTAGGGTCTTTTTTGGGATTTTGCTTTCCCTATTTTGTTTATACCCAGGAATTATATTCAGTAGGGACTATATTTATAGATGACCATATATTCTTTCCCTCCCTTTGGGTATACTGTTGATGCAGGATTGGCAAGATTTCTACTTAGTAATACAGTAATATTCTTCGGTAATATTTGCCTTTCCTTAGTATTCTAGGAAGAATGTATGCAATGTGTTGATTATTGAAACTGTCCTACCAGTTTGATTTGAAACTGTCTCATTGCTATTTGTTTCTCAATTGTGTTAGTTTATCAACAACTGAAGTTTATATGACCTCAGTATCATTTTCTTTGAATAGGATTCGTTGGCAAAATTTGCAGGTAGAAAACTGAAAGACTGTGGAGAAGATCTTCTTGTAGAGATATCTGAAGTACTGTTCAATGAATTGGCTTTCTTTAAACTCATGCAAGATTTGGATAATAATAGTGTAACTGTTAAACAGAGATGCAAAAGGAAAATAGAAGCAGCTGGAGTGATGCAGTCTTATGCCAAAGAGGTAAATAACATCTATTTTGGATTTAGGAATACTTAAACCTATGGATGCAGTTCTTGGTCATTATTAATAACTATAATCATCCTGGGTCTTAAAAGAAGTAGTTATTTTAATTCTCTTAATGAATAGAGGAATTTGTTATAATAGTGTTTATAAATAGGGTATCATGCTGCATCTTGTACAGCAGTTAACCACTAGGAAGAATGTATGCAATGTGTTGATTATTGAAACTATCCTACCAGTTTGATTTGAAACTGTCTCACTGCTATTTGTTTCTCAATAAAATTATAAAAAATAAATAAATAAACCATTAAAAAAAGAAAAGAAATAATTGCCTAGAGTTGTAGAGATAATGCAGAGAGTTGGGACTTGAGACATAGAGAATAGAAAAGAGTGGTTTTTCATGAAATATAGTATCTTGATGAATATGTAATAATTCCAAATCCAGGATCCTATATATGATGTATTTTTTCATTTTATTTCCAGCAGTCTTCTTATATAGCTACTTTTTTAGTTCCAAAAGATATTTTTTAAAGGATCTGACAAAGAGCCGGCCAGATAACTCAGCAGATTAAAGCGCCTGCTTAGGCAGACACAGGGGCTGGGGGTTTGATCCCCGGCTTGCGGTGCTGGCCCCACCCCAGGGGCACACTTGACAGGCTTCGATTGAGACTGGGCATGGTTGAGCATGCCTGTAATTCCAGCGCTTGGGAAGCTGAAAATCAGAAAGGATCACTATCACTACATCTCCAATCTGTGTAGTGAGATCTTATTGACCCTATATGTAATACGTAAAAATAAATAAGTAAATAAAGAATCTGACAAATTCTACACATAAATAATAAAGAATCTGACAAATTCTACACAGTTATTTAGTTTAAGAATTCATGCCTCTAACAAACATTTTTAAAAATAGAAAAATTTAAAGGTTCTCCAGAATGTCTCAAATATTAAAAACTTTTATTTATTACAAACGTAATTTATTTATAAACTTTATCCACTGGATTTTATGTCTATGACACATTCAGTCACTAATATCAATAAAATGTGACTCAAATTCAAAAGAAAAAATAAATAAATTTCTGTGTAAAAATAAAAAAAGAAAAAGAAAAAAGACAGGCTTTGCTTATATAAACTTTGATGGCCATAATTCTGGGGATAAGATTGTCATTCAAAAATACACACTGGGAATGACTACAAATCTGAAGCTAGGAAAGCCCTGTTGAAGCAGGATATGGCTAGTGCTTCATCTAGCCAAAGAGGTTGAAGTGGTTCAGTTTTGGTGGTGGTCATGGAGGTGGTTTTGGTGACAGTTTTGGTTGTGGAGAAAACTTCAGTTGAGGTGGTTGAGGTGGCTTTGGTGGCAGCCATGGTGGGGGTGGATATGGTGGCAGTGGAGATGGCTACAGTGGATTTGGTAATGTTGGAAGTAATTATGGAGGTGGTGGAAGCTATAATGAATTTGGCAATTACAGCAGTCAGTCTTCAAATTTTGGACCCATGAAGGGAGGAAACTTTGCAGGCAGAAGCTCTGGGCCCTATGGTGGTAGAGACCAATATTTTACCAACCACAAAATCAAGGTGGCTATGGTAGCTCCAGCAACAGCAGTAGCTGTGGCAGTGGCAGAAGGTTTTAAACACTTCCAAGAAGCAAAGCTTAGCAGGAGAGGAAAGCCAGAGAAGAGACAGGAAGCTACAGGTTACAACAGATTTGTGAACTCAGCCAAGCACAGTGGTGGCAGGGCCTAGCTGCTACAAAGGAGACATGTTTTAGACAGTACTCATGTGTATGGGTAAAAACCTAGAGGACTGTATTTGTGACTAATTGTGTAACAGGTTAATTTAGTTTCTGTTCTGTGGAAAGTGTGAAACATTCCAACAAAGGGTTTTAATGTAACCTTTTTTTGCACCCACGCTGTTGATCATTAAATGTATAGTCTGATGATTCTCCTGAATAAATGTCTTTTCTTAAATGTGCTGTGTAAAGTTAGTTTACTCTGAAGCCATCTTGGTTAACATGCCCAACAGTGTGAAGTTAGAATTCCTTCAGAGTGATGCCAGGTTCCATTTAAAATTTCTTTACAATTGCTTGATTAAAAAAGTCATTGTCTTCAGAAACTTTGGAGTAGTAGAGCTGACATTTACCATTGTGACCTCTGAATATGACCATTGAAAAGGTCACCAAAGCAAACAGCTACTTGGTTATAAAAATAATTGTTGGCACATCCTATATATCTAAATTGAATAATGGTACCAGATACAATGATAGATGGGATTGAAGCTATGTATCATTCAGTATCATTATTAGGAAAAAAATCTGATTAGCCATGTGTAATCAATAAAAGATTTAATTCTCTTGGGGGAAAAAAGGTAGTTATTTTAGTATTATCAGTTAATCAGATTATAAATCAGTATATGGTTTACCATAGTGAATCTCAGGAGTAACAGTAATGGCTAATGTGACTGGCAGTGCAAGCAGGAATTGATGCTAAATGTCCATTGTCAGATACCCATTTTTTTGTCACTTATTCAGGCCTCCAAAGAGAAGGGGAGAACTGGGAGTCAGTCCTTGACCTAGTGTCTGCATTGGGCTGTTGCCAGTCCCCGTATCATCCTGAGCCACCCCAACCAACAGATACTTTTGTCTATTGGTTAGGAAATTAGTTTCACATTGCTGTCTTTTTTTCTGTCCTGTAAGATTACTTCTGATAATGTGAAACAGAAAATTTGTTCCTACTCAATGTGAGGCTAATCAGATTTTTTTCCTAAGCCTGCACTCATGACAGGGAAAGCATGCTAAAACTCAGACTGAAAGAGATTGCCTTTCTTCCTTAGAATACATATTGAAGCTATCTACTTTGTACTTTTCATGTTTATATTCTTTTTTTTTTTTTTTTTTTGCGGAACCAGGGATTAAACCCAGGCCCTTGTGCTTGCCAGGCAAGCACTTATTCTACTGAGCCATCTCCCTGGCCCCAATGTTTATATTCTAAATGTAATTCGTTTCAGTCCTTTAAAAAGTTTAAAGAAATGAATCAACGTAATACCATAATAAATTATTAGAAGGCAGTCTCCTTTGAAATACTTCAGTAGTTTAGTCTCAGAAGAGTCTTAGAAGGTATGAAATATGAGCTGAGACACAGAAAATAAAGGATAGTAAAGATGGAGAAGTTTTCATGTGAAAAAACTAATTCTAAAACAGGATTAAGTAATTGGAAAATAGAAAAAAGGTAGATTCAGAAGCTCATTAGGTGAAGTAGTAATGTTACAGAAAGTAACTGCCAAACTGTTACATATGCCAAGTTCATCGAAGAGTGAAGGTGAGGACAAAGGATATTAAGAGTGGGAAAGATTTTATTAAGAGAAAGCTCCTGAAGGGCGGAGGGGGTCCTAAAAGTGGGTTGCTGCTGAGACTTGTGTGAGGTGTTATATGCAGTTAAATCACAGCATGGGTTATCCTGGTTCAACCTGTAGGACTTAGCTAATACTGATTTTATAGAAAAACAAAGTAAGTGCCAAGGATAGATAACATGGAGATGAGCATTTCTAGAATGGACCTGCAACCAGGGTCAGAGTGTTCTGGTTATCTTTGGACACAGTGATTACATTGTATGTGTTCATTATACTGTTTAAGTTATTGGACCAAATGGTGCTTGTTACAGTAGAAGTTTGAGCTGTTTATCTCAGGGGAGGCGCTCAGGCCTAGCCATCTTGGAGCCTTATTTCTATCAACTCAGGCCTGGACCACAAGCCTGGTTTGCCTGTTTCTATTCTATCTTGGGACTGGTCTCATTCAACTACTTAGCAGTTTTTACCTAACTTAGCTATCTATAATAGAATGTAGAAGGTGAGGTCATAAAGATAGGGAAGGTCAAATTATGAGGCCTTAGAAACTACAGTAAAGATCTCCTTTCCTTTTCCTTTTTTCTTTTCTGTTTTGTTTTTGTTGATCGATTTGCTTTTCAGAAAACCCATGGGAAAGATTGAAATAGAGGAATGACACAATCTTTTTATCAGAAGCCTGACTGGTTGCCTTAGCAGTCTGCTCAGTGGAGGGTGAGGGGGGAAACACAAACACAGACAAGAAAGTAATTTATTCTTGGTTTGGCCAAACCAAAAAGATAGCTAAGAAACAGCATTCCCCCTTGAAACAGCTCTAAATGTATATAGGGAAAGGACAAAAGCTAGAAGCTGACAGGTGTGCATTGCAGAAGGTCAGGCTGGGGGACCCTGCAAGCAAAGACATATACATGCATGTGTTGTACTTCTGATCCAGCTGACCCCATGTGCCCCAGGATTTGTACAGCACTTTTCTTCTCATCATGAGATAAATCTGGGAAGGAAAAAGCAGTGTAAGAGTAAGTTACAAGGCTCGATAAGGACTGTTTTTCTTTAACTCTCTCTGTTTTAAAGGCAGCCCTTTTATAATCTCATGTGTAATTTTAAAAAGTTATCTGGTTAATGTTTTAGACAGATACCTAAAAATAGAATCAGTACAATCCATTTGGGTTTTTTGGCTTTTATTTTGCTTTGTTTTTTTGTACCGGGAATTGAACTCAGGGCCTTGCACTTGCTGGGCAGGTACTGCACCACTAGCTACACCCCCAGCCCCAAGACCAGTTTTTGTAGTTGAAATCGTCCCCTTATCACAGCACTCAAGAGACTGAGGCAGGAGAATCACTGCAAGTTCAAGACCAACCTCTACTACGTAGTGAGACCTTGTCCTCTCTCCCACCTCCCCCGCCACCCAAAAAAAATGAGTTGAAATTATTCCGGTAAAAAATGATACACTAATGTCTTTTAGATTGTGGTACAGCAATGGATACATTTTAATGATTCAGTAACACATTCTAATGATTTGAATGTGGATAATGAAACTAAACAAAGGCTGATTCCTAATTCCTTGATTTGTATATATGAGTCAGTAAACTTACTGAGACTGAGACTTCTAAAGAAGGGATGGGTTGTAGGAGAAGAAAATACAGGCTTTTTGGTTTTGCCTTGTAAGTTGTAGGTTTTTTTATATATCCACCAAGTTGTCAGGTTGGGAGTGTTACTTTTTGCTTTGTCAATTTTAAAACTTTAAGGAGGATGTGGCAGTTGGTTGCAGGACAGTAGCACAGGCCTATAATTCTTGCACTCTTGAGAGCCCAAGGCTAGAGGATAACAAGTTCTAGCCTGGGTGATTTAACAATTTAGTGAGACCCTGTTTCAAAAAATTAAGGACAAACTCAACAGGAACAGTTTTATAATATAAGAAACTCGAGTTCTTCAATCTTGCACATTTATATTTGGTAACCTGAACAACTAATCTGAAGATAATGTGCAATACAGCAACCATTATTATATTCCTATTACTTTGTTTAGTAAAATTTTGTATCATTTCTAATGCTTTTTTTCCTATGACTATTTTGTATTCTTTATAAAATGCAAATTAAAAAGAAATGTGAAGAAAAAAATTAAAGACATGCTGGGGATATGATGTAATGAAAGGTCCTGGGTTCAGTCCCCAGTGCAACAATAATTAAGATTAAAATATTTGACTTTACATTTCTAAGAAGGTATTTGGATGATAGTTAAAAAAAGAAACACTTGATAAAGTTTACTGAGTTACCTAAATGTTTTGGCAAATTCTGTTTAATTGATTTGCTGACAGGCCAAAAGGATTCTTGAAGATCACAGCTCACCTGCTGGAGAGATTGATGATGAAGACAAAGTATGTGGTAATTAATTTGTGCCTCTAAATAATGCTTTTGGAACAAAATATGAAATAAGTTTAACAGTTTTTACCTTAATATTTAAAAACAGTATTTCATCTCTATTCTGAAAAAATGTTTTTCTTTTAAAATCAAAATTAGCTGAGAATGATGGCACATGCCTATAATCCAGGTGCTCTGGTAAGATAAGGCAAGAGGATCACAAGTTTGAGCCCAACCTGGACAGTTTAGTAGTTTAGTGAGACCCTGTCTCAAAATGAAAAATTAGACAAAAGACTCTAAGGTCTTAGGGTTCAGTCCCTAATACCAAAAGAAGTGCTAAGAACTAAACTGCCAAAGATGACTATATTTTTCTTACATAATGATCATTATTTTTATGAAAGGGATAAAGTATTTTACTTTATACCATTTTGAAGTACTTTAAGGAATTAGTTACTCAGGTTATTTGCTACCAGGACAAGGATGAAACTGAAACAGTTAAGCAGACTCAAACATCTGAGATATATGGTGTTGAAGGTTCCAAAAATGTGAGATCTGATGTTTCTGATCAAGAGGAAGATGAAGAAAGTGACGGATGCCCAGTGTCAATTAGTAAGTTTAAAGACTCCACAGTCTTTATTCCTAATGTCTTTATATGTCTCTTATTAAAAACAGTTTGGAGGACTGCAATACATATAGACTTCAGTTTCTCCTTTACTTAAGTCCCAGTATGATCTTGACTAAATTACCTGGCCTCTTTACCCCACAATTTTTAGTACTGTACTGACTTGAAGATTTTAGACATTATTTATAAAGCACCTGTGGCATGCAATAATTGATAGCTATTCATTATAAAGTTAAATGGTGTGGACACAGTGGTGCATGCTTGTGGTGCCAGCTACTCTGGAGGCTGCAGTGGGAAAGTTGCTTGGGTTCTGGACTTTGAGACCAGCCCCAGCAACAACAGAGAGACCTCAAGGGGAAAAAAAGGAAATTTACTAAAAATTGTGTTTCAATTAACTCAGACTTGTCTAAAGCGGAAACTCAGGCTTTAACTAATTATGGAAGTGGAGAAGATGAGAATGAAGATGAAGAAATAGAAGAATTTGAAGAGAGCCCTGTAGATGTCCAGACTTCACTTCAGGCTAACACTGAAACTACAGAAGAAAATGAACAGGATGATCAGGTATTCCAACGTAGGGCAGCAGCACACTTTCCAGCAGGCTCATTTCAACTACTAAAAGCAAGAGCGTTCTGAAAAATGGCAAAACTTAACAACTTTTCTCATTTTTATTTTTGAGAATACAAGCATGTTTAATATGTTAATAAGAATCTGAAAAGAATTAAGATGTTATGTACATGTATCAGCTCCCCATAATGAATGCAATCATGTACCTCAAACATGCTAATAAAAACAAAACAATGAAAATTCTGAAACGCTAATTTTTTTATATTTAGTACTGTTTAACTTTAAAATTCTTTATCTTTTATTTGTGTAACCTGTAAAACTATAAGATATCTTAGAAGATAAGGGGTTTTAATCTATGTATTTTCCCAGAATCATTAATGAAAATAATGTGGAATAGAAATGAAATCACCTTCTGTCGTTACCTCATCCTGAGGCAACCCTTTGTACAATTTTATCTTCTGTTTATCCCTCCTTAATTCTGCATAGTGTATATGTTCTGTTTTTTGGTTAAATCTGTATTTATGCAAATATTTAGATTTAACCAAACTAAATATTACTGCTGAGGCAAGTATCTATTATTGTTTGGCCTTGCACATCTTTCTCCTGAATTTATCAGTCTTAATTTTTTATTTTGGGCACACACCCAATTTTCTTCTGTAGCCTCGAGTTGCTCTAGAAATTCTTCTCCCAGCAGAATTTTCTTTATGAACTAAATTCCCCTGCTTCACCTCCACCCAGGATGTACTTTCTTGCCACATTCTAGATTTGGCTTTTCTTTAGACCTGCTAAATAGCTACCAATACAAATCTCATCTTGTCCATTTATGTTCCTTCTCAAATCTCTCCTTCTGGAATTTAATCTTTTGTCTTTCTTTGGGTTTACTACCTCATTTTGAGGGAACATCCTTTCTAATAACTCTTAAAAACAAATGTATAGAAGATAATTTGGTTTGGTTTGGTGGTACTAGTGATTGGATTTGAGACAGGTTCTCCCTAAATTGCCCAGGCTGAATTCAAACTTGGCAATTCTCATACCTCAGCCTTTCAGAATGGTGGGATTATAGGTATGCCCTACCATGCCTATGTGAAAATATTTTCCTTCAGAGCTCTCAAAGTACTGCCTCCTAGTCCAGTTCCCAGTGTTGCTGTAGAAATCTCATGTTTTTCTTAGTTCTCATCCTTTGTGTCTTTTTTTCCCCTCTCTATTTCAAAAGCTTGGGAGTGCTGAAATTTTAAAATAATATGCACTGGGGGCTGGGAAGATGGTTCAGTAGACTAAGTGCTTTCCTGGCAAGCACAGGGGCCTGAGTTCAATCCCTGGTTCCACCAAAAAGAAAAAGAAAAGAAATTTAGGGGCCAGGGAGATAGCTCAGTAGAATAAGCACTTGCTTGACAAGTGCAAGGGCCTGAGTTCAATCCCCGGCTCTCCAAAAATATTATAATATAGTAATAATAAACATTGTTAAAAGTCTTTTTCATTTATTTTGTGGCTCTTCTTCATTTATATCCTGTCCTGCAATTTGGTAATTTTATTTTCACCATCATTTTATCTTTTTTTTTTCCCTTCTGGAATTAATATTTGCTGTCATAGATTGATGATCTCATTGTCTCCTTTTTTTTCCGGTTTTATTTTATTGAGAAACAAATAGCAATAAGACAGTTTCAAAACTGATTAATAGGACAGTTTCAAGAATTAATGCATCGTACATTGTTATCTTCTTAGTAGTTATCCATAGAACAAGAAGCAGACAGGATATCCTGTCCAAACACTATTAGTACAAATCCTTCTTCTCATTGAATTAAGCGAAAGTAGCTGTATATCTATCTCAACTATTTTATATATACAGATACAAAATGGTCCTTCCTTTGTATCACCTTTTTTTGTTTAGTCCTGTCAGAAATGGGTATTCCACTGGCATCTAAATACTATAGTTGTGTGAATTCAGCAAAACAATCCAACACAGTCCAGCAGTCCACAATAGTAGTGGGTTATCCACAGAAGTCTCCTTTCCTTTTTATCATGCCATTGCTTTATCTTGTTTTATTTTTGTGAATTTCCTTGGCCTTAAAACTTATGTGATTTTTTTTTTTCTTTTTTTCTGGTTGCTTTCTTAAAATGCCCTGTTCCATAATGGAAGAAATAACTTGCCTTATGTGGAGGCTTTCCTCAGGTATCTGAGGAACCTTGGCTAATTTTTTTAAAGAGTGATATATTAGAAAGATGGTTTGGGTTCTTTCAGACTTCACTGTAGGCCATTTGGGTACACAGCCAGCTTTCTGATGATTACTTCTAGTGTCAGAACCTATTTTAGGTTTCTTTGGAGTGTTTTAGTTTCTTCAAAGAAAAGGTTCTCCATTCTTCTCTTGTCTGGAACATAACAAGCTGGTATTCTGGAGAAAATCTAGAAATGGGGCAGTGTTCCACCATTGTATAGATTTGCACTAAATTGTACTGTCTTCTTTATGACACTTTACAACATTCTGATTTGTGCCATATATGTTCCACCCTTCCTTCCTAAGTGTGACATTCCCTAGTTTATAGTTTCTCTATAAAATCTCCCATTTTCTGTTGAGGCTGGACATTAGAACGTAGGTGTTCACATTTTTCAAACAACTACCACCACCACTCCCTTTGTGTCATGAACCCTTTCTCTACCATTTTCCTCCTTCCTTAGAATCTGCTCCTTCTAATTGTGAACTTAATCTCTTTTTATTCCCTACTCTTGCTGAAGATACTTCATACTCTTCATCTTCTTGTGGACAGTTCAGTTTCCCATTCACGTATATTTAAATAACTTTAAAATAAATGGGGTTACCTTTTATTTAAAAAATAATTTTTAAGATATGAAATCTCTGATATTCCAGTTGTTTTGAGTTTGTCCAAGAAGAAAAGGAAATTATTTTACATAGCCATCTTGTAATTGCTTCCAAACCCTCTTTGAAATACTTTTAGAAGATATTTTAATTTCCCTTTTTGAAGTTCTCAGATTGGACAAAAACATGCCATAGTTAACATCAGTTTTTATAATAACCACATATTTTAAGACTTTTCTATTGAAACATTCTTCATTTTAGGTTCTACAACATGAGCTTGAAAAAACAGAAAACACAAAGACCCCATCAGAACAAGAACCCACTAATAAAGGTAAGAAATCTAAATCAGTGTTGATGTTAAAGATTATCTAAAGTATCTTTTATGTGTGTCAACCTGAAAAAAAAGATTCCTAGTTAATGTAATTTTGAAAGTACCTTGGACTTGATGTGTATCTTTCTTCTCCCAGTAAATCTTTTGTAGAAAACATAAGAGGGCTTTGTTTCTGCAAACAGCAATTTTAAAAGTTCACAGATATTTACACATACTGAAAAATTTTGCAAAGAACATCTTTAGATGTAAACAAGGGACATTTTTTAAATTCCTGGCCCTTACTCCTGAAAATCCTGATTAGAAATCAGGTAAGTTTCCAGAATCTAATTTTTAAAATGTTCCAGATGGGTCTAATGAACTAAATTTGACTAAGAAAATTTTGTAGTTGCCCTTTTTTTTTGGTTTTCAGTGTCTTTCAGTTGCTGTCATTCATGCATATTGTTTTTATTTAATAGAGACTAAAATTTAACTGTTTGTCATGATACTGATATTAAGACTTTCTTTTGATCACAGATGACCAAGATAGCTCTCCGATGAAGCCCTGTTATCTCAATATTTTGGAAAATGAGGAATCTTTAAATAATGCTGCCCACAAGGACTCACTTACTACTATTGATTCATCTCAACAGCCTAACCCTTTGCCGTTACCTTTAACTGAAATTGAAACCTTAGTGCCTAGAGTCAAAGAAGTTAAATCTGCTCAGGAAACTCCTGAAAGCTCACTGGCTGGAAGTCCCGATACTGAATCTCCAGTGCTAGTGAATGATTATGTATGTATCATTTATGCTTCCATATACTTTTGCTTTTCATTTCTATGCATATTTCATGTTCAGATTAACATTTTCAGCATGTAAACTAAACTCCACTTTGTGTTTAGGTTTAGAACCTATCAAAACATTTTTATTTTAAATTAATTTGGGGCTGGCCAAATAGCTCAGCAGATTAAAGTGCCCGCAAGCAGGCTCAGGGTCCTGGGGTTTGATCCCCAGGCCTGTGTTGCTGGCCCCACCCACAGGACCCACAAAGATGGCAATTGAGACTGGGCGTGGTAGCATGCGCCTGTAATCCCAGCTGTTGGGAGGCTGTAAACAGATGGATCACTACAAGTCCAGTCTAATAGTGAGACCCTGAACAACCTGTAGATCCTTCCCTAAAACACAAAAAAATAGATTACTTAATTTTACTTAATTTACTAACTTAATTTTAACAAAAGAGTAATAGTGAATTAGGACAACTATCTCAAAATTGTAGAACTGTTCCATTTTATAACTCTGTAACTTGGATAGTTGATAGAAAAGTCATACTTTTAAAAATTAGAAGCGAGAAACGGGGGAAGAAATGGATCAAGTTTAAGAAAAACACAGTTTGAGCTGGGTGTGGTGGCACACACCTGTAATCCCAGCCCTAGGCAGACTGAGGCAGGAGGATCATTGTGAATTTGAGATCAGCCTGGGCTACAAAGTAAGCCCAAGGACAGCCAGAACTGTGTAGTGAGACCCTATCTCAAAAAGAAAAAAAAAAAAAAAAAGAAAGAAAGAAAAACACAGTTTGATGTTACTACAGAAGTGAATTACTACATTCACAGCTCATGTTTATAACTGCTCAGAGTTGAAAAGTTTGTAAATGTTTACATATATTCTTCTGGATATATAGTTCAGGTATATTTTATAAATATCAAAAAATAAGAGTTGCTTTCTAGTTACTTAAGCCTGTCTTCTGTGAACTGGCTTTTTTTGTTGTTTTTAAATAAAATGGGGACCAAAACTCCCAGCGGTGTGCTCTCATAGCTGCTGACAGTTACCCCTTCTTGGGAACTCCAGATTTCTGAGTTACCCAGGTGTAAGTATGAAGAAAATAAAACATGATGGAATTACTCATACATATTTACTTGTGACTAGGTCTTGGCATGGATAACGTAGATCCAGAGATGAAATGCACTGTAAAATTAAAATACAATTTATCTTACAGGAAGCAGAATCTGGTAACATAAGTCAGAAGTCTGATGAAGAAGACTTTGTGAAAGTTGAAGATTTACCACTTAAACTGACAATATATTCAGAGGTATGTGGCTCTCTGTGATTAAACTTGTCTTTCCGTATAATAGATACTATTTAAGTAAATAAGTTAAGCTTTAAATTTTTATTCTAAAGGCAGATCTTAGGAGGAAAATGGTAGAAGAACAGAAAAACCATTTATCTGGTGAAATATGTGAAATGCAGACTGAAGAATTAGCTGGAAATTCTCAGACTTTAAAAGCACCTGGTAAGAATTACCAATTTTAATTTTATACTGAAAAGTATCTAATCATGCATGATTCTATCATTTTGGCTTATTTTTCAAATGTACTACCCTGGGAAATTTAAGCTTAATCTTAAAAAAGAGTCATTCTGGAAAAATATTTCAGCTGCTTAACTTATTGACACTAATTTAATGACATATGGTTAACTTTGCATTTTTAATTTCTTTATAGTTTTAGCAGGGCAATATATCACGTACCTGTGTATGGTTTAAGAAAGAAGGATACAAAAGAATTAAGCCAGTCAGGGTGGCACAGTCCTGTAATCCTAGCACTCTTGAGAGGCTGAGGCAGGAGGATAGCAGCCTGGGAGACATAGGGAGAGCCTGTCTCAAAATTTAAAATAAGTAAGTAAATAAAAAGAATAGAAGAGGTAGCTCAGTGCAATGACTCTAAATTAAATCTTTTTTTGTGGTTTGGTCCTTTTGAGGTGGCATCTGACTGCAGTTCAGGTTGGCCTGGAGCTCGCTTTGTAGCTCAGGCTGGTCTCAAACTCACAGCAATCCTCTTGCCTCAGCCTCCCCAGTGCTAGAATTCATGTCCAATTGATTTAATCTTAAGTACCACAAAAAGAAAAGTTAATGATAAACAATAAGAACCTATTTCTTTTCATTATTGGTTATTATTTCTTTTAGAGAAAGCTATAATTCCGGTACAATTTTTTTCTGTTTCAAAATCAAATATTTCTCATGTTTCTTGAATTTAGACCTGTATATTCATATTGAGTTTTTCTATTTTATTTTTAGCATTACCCTTCCTCTTTTGTGACTATAATAAATTTTATGTAGTTTTCTTGAGGTTGATGCTAAATAAATACCATCCATCAGAGCCAAGTGATGATCCCACATTTCCTTCTCTGTGGGTAGAGTAGCACAACTGTGAGCTGCTCAGAGAGTGTCTCTTGCATCAGAATCAAAGAGTTTTCTGTTTTCCCCCAATCAGCTCATTTGGTTAATGTCTCACATATGGCTCTAATTTTTTTTCTTTCTTTTCCCCCTTTAGTTTTTCTGATGAGACTGAGAGAAGGGTAGGCCATTCAAATATCAAGCCTTTGGGTAGGACCCCAGTTTTCAGCTCAGTTCTGCATATTTCAGTACATTGAGTATGTCCAACTGCAGTCTCTCCTCTTGTTCCAGGCTGGGTCTCCCTGTATTCTTTTCTGCTATGCCCCATCTGTTTTGGACTTTGATTATTTTTTGTTGGTACCTCGTATTTTCTCACAACCTCTCTTCTTTTGTTGGTCTGTTGGTCTATATTTAACTTTTTGAATAGTAGTTTTATTTTTTTCTAGTGTGGTATTTTTGTTTGTTTTTTGAGGCAGGAAGTATCTGTGTAGTCTGCCATATAATAAAAGAAATTCTCCTTTTTTGTGTATTACCAGGAAACTTGAGATACATTAGGATTGCTATTTTAGTAATCCTTTATTACAAAGAAAGACTTTAATGGATGAGTACAATGTTAAAAGTCAATTTTAGTAAGTAGTTGTAATTCAGTAAATGATTTACAAAAAGTAATATTCTGTTTTTCAGAAACAGTGGGAGCCCAGAGTGTATGAGATATCTTCGGAGCTTCTTCTGATTCTCTCTTTACATAGTCAGTGCATACAGGAAAATGATTCTAAATAAACACCTGTTTTGATCTGTATAAAAATGTAAATTAGTTTGACACTGCATTTTTGATAGATGTGCTAATTTCTGCCCATGGCAGTTTATACGTTAGAAACTGAATTCTGGACAGATTTGAGCCTGGATACACTGTGGGGTTCTTGGTTTTTTTTTTCCTTTTATTTTTTTCTTTTGTGTTTAGATTTTTTTTTTTCTCATTGTGATGTTTGGTAATGTTAAACTTAAAATACAGTCTTAAATAAAGTTTGAACTTAACTGTATCTTTCTTTGGAAATTATGGTGGATTCAATATAGCAAATTGCTATTCTGTATTATTTTAGGCAACTCAAAGCAGTGGTCAGAAATTAAATATTTATTATAGAGCCCAGCCGTAGCCCTATCTTCCAAATAATGCCAGTGTTGCTGCTACTGAGTCCAATGTTCTTGTAGGTACCTGCAGGTCCTGTACCTGTATAAGAATAGGGCAGGACTGGGCATGTTGATCACTGGTAGTACACTTGCCAAATATGCACAAGGCCTTGGGTTAGATCTCTACAATCACCCCCCCCCCATGCAGGTGATAAAGATAGTCAAGGTACCCATGAAGTTAGCAGAATATTTGGTAATAATCTGTATTTAAAAATGCATAAGTTTAGAACATAAGTCATCAACACCTAGAACATATACAGTTGTCTATTAAATGAGTGTTTTCTAGATTTGCAAATCCTGTGTTGCCTCCATTTAAAAATTTAAAAATATGATCAGGGAATGTGTCTGCAGAGAAAAGTAACATTTTGATTAATTTTAAATGAAAGACCAGACTTTTAAAGTAAGAATAAGTAGATTTAAATTATGTAACAACATAAAGATTCTGTATGCCTTTGGACAAACTTGCCTTTTAAATGGTAGCTTCAAACCAAAGTCTAACCTTTGATTCTGTGTGTAGTAAGAGAGAAGCAGGTTCACAGAAGAAGTATTGAAGTACTGAATAAAGATAATCTTATGTGACTTAACTAAGTAAACCAACTTTTAAAAGGCGATTTACTGTTTTATTCCATTAATACCGTAGACCCAGTTAAGCCTGACAGAGGCAGTTAACAATAAGTCATTCTTACAGATGCCACCTTGAATGAAATGTGAAGACTATGAAGTATTAGATCTGAGTTCCAAAGTATCTTTTAAATTGAGAAACACTTTACTCAGATATCCCATATGTAAAAAACTTGATGTTCTTTTAAAATTGTAACCTGTGTGATACTTTAAATAACATAAACTGTAATCAAGAAATATTAAATGATTTCCCTATGAAAAAATTTACTGTATTGCTACTTACTTTAAATTAACATAAGTCAGGGCCAGATAGCACTCGGGAGGCTGAGGCAGGAGGATTGCTTCAATTTTAGGGCCAGCCTAGGCTGTATAGTGAATTCAGGGCAAACCTGAGCTACATACTGATACTCTTAATAAAAGACCCTTAATAAAACCCATTCAGAAAACTTCCAGTCTGAAGTGAGTTCTTACCTAGTTGAACTGACTTAGTTGTACTGTATATATAGAGATATACATATAGATATATATACTGTATATATACTCAGGCTCTGTATTTTCTAGACTCTTAAATAGGAAGAGGGGAAAACTATTTGGTACGTTAAAACCAAAACCTTGCCTATTGTAACTGTCTTTCCCTGCATGCATATTAAGGAGACAGTGGGAAAATTTTGTTTAATACCTTAGTTATTACCATGGTACCTAAAAGCCTCATTAAACTGGCTTATTTGACTTACGTTATAGTTACTGTCTAATTATTACCATGGTACCAAGAGCTTCATTAAATTTTCTAGTCTGTTGTTTTCCTACTTTAATAGATAATTTAGTTTTAGCTAGGGCTTGAGAGCAGGTTACTTGTTCAGTGTTTTTCCTAGTAACTGTTTCTAAAGAATTAGACATTAAATATTCCTATTTGTCTTAATTGTTAAGTTAAAAATTTGGCTTGAGGTAGAGGGAAAAAATGTCAAAGTAAGTGAGAAAGAACACTGCACAGGTTGAGTTAGCTAGACTGGTGATACCCTTTGTATTTTGTAACATTCAGTTGGGTAAATGCTTTTTCACTGTTAATAAATGTCTATTCTACATACAACCCAGAATTGTATTTTATTTAAATTGATATGCTTTAGATTTTATTTTAGAATTGTGGCTTTATTTTACATGCTTAGTCTTTTAAAAAAAGTCTGCACATGAAAAGTAATGACATTTTTTCTAACCAGAAGGATTTATTCAGCTTATGGTAATTTATCTTACAGTGGATAGATGCTTTGTCATTACTTGGTTATGTTTATTTTATGCAAATGGTGGATGGGATATAGTCAGGAAGCTGCACAAGAAAATGAAAATGAGCCTTGGGAGAAAGTTTATTGTGTTCTCAGGTTCTAGCAAGCTTGTCTCCTGCTGCCACATTAGGGTTATAGGAAAAGCACATTTGGTCAAGAGGCAGAAAACATGAGCCCCTCTAGAGTCTTTATGGAAGTTTCTTAGGGGAAGGCAGGGTAGAGTGAACAGTTTAGCTTTGGCTATTACTGATAAATGTGGAGGAGCTGGGCTGGAATGATGGTCTCTACTGCTTGGGATAATATAAAATAGCAAAAACACTGGCTTGCACAGGACTTAAAGGTGATAGGACTGTATGTAAAGGATTGGTTGGCTTGTATATGAAAGCCATCTGCTTCTGGCCTAACCGTTTGATAATCTCTAAGAAAGAACTAGAATGCCAGGGATACAGCTCATTGGCATAACCCCTGCCTGATGATAACACAGGTCCTGGGGTTCAGTTTGCGGTACCAAAAAAAAAAAAAAAAAAAAAAAAAGCTTTTGGGGGTGATCTCCCTGCTAAGCAAGTTTTTTTTTTTTTTTTTTTTTTTTTTTTTTTTTTTTTTTTTTTTTCCGGAACCAGGGATTGAACTCAGGCCCTTGCGCTTGCCAGGGAAGCGCTTATTCCACTGAGCCATCTCCCTGGCCCCTCTAAGCAAGTGTTTTTAAGATGTCAAAGTATAAAATACAGAAAATAGCATGATTAATACTCCAAATAGTTTACTTGTTCCTTGTCCAGGTTACTTTAATGAACAGTTTCCAACTGTCACAGCAACAGTGGCTCTGGATTTCACTTACTTCACCATGTAAATAAAAGATTGCCCAGTCACCTGGACTGGAAGAGCCAGCATTTCCAGTTGTAGTGGGTGTGCAACTCTGATTGTTTCTTTAAAATTCTCTGTCTTTACATGTCTGTCAACCACTTCTGATTTCATCCCAGGTAAAACAAAAGCATCTGTCAAGCTCTACACCAAAGTAATTTTCTAGTTTGACCTGATTTTTCATTTTCCCCATTATTGACTTAATTCTCATCAAACTGACCTCGTTTCTGTTCATACATTTGTGGCACCTTCTTCTATAAAGCCTTCACATTTTTTTGTTTCTTCTACCTACATAGAAGATTCTCTCCGCTGATACTGGTGTATTTTTAGACATGTAAGAGTATCTTCTTTATTGTATCCACCCTGAAATTTCATGGGCTGGGGATGTGGCTCAGTGGTACACTGCTTGGCTAGTATGGGTTTGATCCAAAATAAACCACTCCCCACAATTTATTTGTATCCTCTTTTATTCGTGTTATAGCTAGCTTATCTACAATTAACACTATGTACTTGTCTAAGAGAAACAAGAGGCTGAAAGAAAAACAGTTAACACTCATTGATACTGTCATGTTAATGGCATGTAAGGAAATTCCTGGAGACCTACACTGTGGGAAAAATGAGATTTAATTTCATCTAGGTACAGGCAGGCTGAAAGATTGGGTATCAGCAAATGCCTAGAGAAGAGGCTAAGTATAGATAGGAATTAGGGTTGTAGTGTGAAGTGATTGGATGGAAAGTTTGAGGTCAAAGCTGCAAGGACAATCAGTATATAAAGTGCATATAAAGTTGGCTTTTCCAGCACCAGGGAAATTGCTAGTCCAGTCCAAAATTCTTTATGGCCTTCACTTGTTTGCTGAAGACAGCAGGGCTTCTTGTTTGTAGAAGATATTAGGTTTATTGGGAAGGTCTGTCTTAAACCAGGCATGAAAAGTTATGTTGAAGGAAGACCGAGAAGATTACAGGTTCTGGGAAGTCAGTGTGGAAAGTATTTCACAGAAAGGGATGCAGTGTACGAATTAAGGATTGAAAGTTGACCTCTGGGACTTAGCAGTATGTTAGTCACTAATCTCACAGGAGTAGTTCTGTAACATTAGGGTTAGAACATGACTAGAATAGTTTTAACTGGTTTTAAGAGAGAACTGAACTAGTTGTTGTTGCATATTCCTGTAATCCCCAGTTTAGGCTGAGGCAGGAGATTGGAAAGTTCAAAGCCAGCATAGGCAATTAAGACTGCGTTTCAAAATAAACACGAAGGGGGCTGGGGAGATAGCTCAGTTGAATAAGTGCTCACCTGGCAAGCCCAAGGGTCTGAGTTCAATCCCCAGGTCCGCAAAAAAATAAACATGAAGGATCGAGGATGTAGCTCAACAGTAGAATGCCCCTGTGTTTCACCCCAAGCATTGCCCCCATCCCACAAAAGAGGAGAATTCTAAGTGAATGAAAAAGTCTTGCTAATTTGTTGTATCATGCATATAACACCTCACTGTCAGAGAACAATATTTAAAAGGAAGAATGATAGGTTGGTTTTACTCATTAGTGAAATGAATTTGATAGTGTTTAAAAATATTTGGGTTAAATTTATCCTATTTATCTGAACAGGATTGCTACCAGAGTAATTAATGGGATTCATAACAACATGTGTTTTATGGGGTTCTTTCCTCTTTTTGAGACAAGTCTTACGGCTTTCTGGCTGGCCTTGAACTCGCTGTGTAGCTCAGGTCAGCCTTGAATTATGTCAGTTATCCTGTCAGCCTCTCAAGTGCTGCGATTACAGGTGTGCATCACCACAGCCAGCGATAATATATTGAAAGAGAAAAACTGTATGATTATTTCAATTTTGTTTAAATGACTATAGAAGAACTTTGAGAAATGATTTCTTTGAAAATTTGCTATCAACCTTATTTGGTGAAAAATGAGGCAGTCTCGGGGCTGGGGAGATGGCTCAGTGGAATAAGCGCTTCCCTGGCAAGCGCAAGGACCTGAGTTCAATCCCTGGTTCCACAAAAAAAAAAAAAAAAAAAGAAGAAGTCTCTTTTTAAAGACAAGAAGAGAAAGTTGATGCTCATAATTATAATTTCTTTTCCATAGTGTATAAT